AAAAGAGAGAGATATGTTATAAGGATGCGCGAGCAGAGATAAGTGTGCTAAGGCAGAAAACAAGGAGTTGAAGCGGAAGGCCACCGTGATGTTCGATTTGGAAGTCCTCCATATGCTGCAGTGGAGGAGTATGGGGGAGTGAACGTGCTCGGCGGCGTGGAAAACACGGAGGCAACACCGTCAAGGCCCGCTCAGGACGGAGGCAAGAAGAAGAGACCAGCGCAGAGTAGAGAGAAAAAAATCCCACTGTGGGTGTGTTGTTTGTTGTGTGTTTTTTTTTTTTTTTTTTTTTTTTTGATGTAAAAATGGTGAACGGGTGAGCCCGACATGAATAAAAGGAGTTTGGTGTGCAGGTCATCTTCGTCTTCTTTTTTTTTTTTTACCGTTATGACACCACCATCCAGTGTCTTCACCAACGGTCTGACACGACCATACAGTGTCTCCTATCCTCTTTTCTTTTATGTATTCGTCTATTTTCTTGTTTTGTTACTCTCTACCACCTCACCTCACCACTAAACCTAACCCACTACACCACTACCACCTCCACTTCACCTACTCCTTACCTACTACACACTCACCCTCTTCTATATATAGGAATCATGAATCATTGTAATAAATATATACAAAAATACATCAATCAATAATAAGATCATCAGATACATTTATTCTCTGTATTTTTCTCTTTATACATTGATTTTTTACAGATTTTTTAAAGGGAAAAAAAAATCAAAAGAAAGGTTAAAAATATGTTAGGTGTGACTGAATCTGATTAGATCCTATTAAAAACTTCATGATCACTAAAATAACAACAAATTATGTATATATGTTGGTTATTTTGGTATTAAACACTATTAGAATTTGTATAATGTCATTTTCACTAAAAAGATGGAGGAAAAAAAAGAGTCAAAAATATGTCGGACACAATAATTTCAAAAATTGCATGAATCGTAAAAAGTGAATCGAATCGTGAATCGTGTGATTCACTAGAAATTCACCCATAGATTCGTATCGATTTTGCAAAATTTGCAAATCAAATCGCGAATCGTAAGATTCTAATAACAGAGGCGACAACTTACAAGTAACAAACAGAATAAGCTCTATCTCCTGTCAATTCCATACAATGTTACAGGACATTAATGAAAGGATCTCTGCCAGAGAAGTGCAATCTAATGTATCTATAACCTAAACAGTGTAAAATACTATAATATATCAATATAAGGGGTTAAAATACAAGTATTTCTTGAGAAAACAGGAAATTATATGACTTCATAGCATAGACAAAAAAAAAAAATCTTCTCCAACATAAGTCTAGTATTATTTTCCTTAGCCGCACCAGATTCTGCAATCTTAAGGCTTGATCCTACTGCCATAAATGTCAAATAAATAGCAGACTTTAAATGCAAAACACATGAAATGGTCTTCATCTGCATTTATAGCTAGCATTTTTTTTTCTATGGATGGCAACAGGAGATACTACAAATGCTTTTAAGGTCAAAAAGGAAAAACAAGGACAGTTTGTAAAAGGCTTGAAATCTTAAGGCTTGATCCAACCAACATAAACTGTCAATTAAATAGCAGACTTTAAATGCAAAACACATGAAATGGTCTTCATCTGCATTTATAGCTAGCATTTTTTTTTCTATGGATGGCAACAGGAGATACTACAAATGCTTTTAAGGTCAAAAAGGAAAAACAAGGACAGTTTGTAAAAGGCTTGAAATCTTAAGGCTTGATCCAACCAACATAAACTGTCAATTAAATAGCAGACTTTAAATGCAAAACACATGAAATGGTCTTCATCTGCATTTATAGCTAGCATTTTTTTTTCTATGGATGGCAACAGGAGATACTACAAATGCTTTTAAGGTCAAAAAGGAAAAACAAGGACAGTTTGTAAAAGGCTTGAAATCTTAAGGCTTGATCCAACCAACATAAACTGTCAATTAAATAGCAGACTTTAAATGCAAAACACATGAAATGGTCTTCATCTGCATTTATAGCTAGCATTTTTTTTTCTATGGATGGCAACAGGAGATACTACAAATGCTTTTAAGGTCAAAAAGGAAAAACAAGGACAGTTTGTAAAAGGCTTGAAATCTTAAGGCTTGATCCAACCAACATAAACTGTCAATTAAATAGCAGACTTTAAATGCAAAACACATGAAATGGTCTTCATCTGCATTTATAGCTAGCATTTTTTTTTCTATGGATGGCAACAGGAGATACTACAAATGCTTTTAAGGTCAAAAAGGAAAAACAAGGACAGTTTGTAAAAGGCTTGAAATCTTAAGGCTTGATCCAACCAACATAAACTGTCAATTAAATAGCAGACTTTAAATGCAAAACACATGAAATGGTCTTCATCTGCATTTATAGCTAGCATTTTTTTTTCTATGGATGGCAACAGGAGATACTACAAATGCTTTTAAGGTCAAAAAGGAAAAACAAGGACAGTTTGTAAAAGGCTTGAAATCTTAAGGCTTGATCCAAC